TAAATAAAAAAGGACTTTATTATTAAATGAATAAAGAAGACTGAGTAGACAGAAACCGAACAATACCTTGGGAGTACCATGCCATAAGCAGTGCATCGCTACTCGGGCTCCATCATGAGTGTGTGCCAGATAGATGACAGCCTCTCTGATAGCTTCTATCATTTCCTGGGGAAGAAAAGATGATAAAGCAAAAATGTGAAAAAAAGGCCTTAAAAGTCTCCAGACATGTGGGTGAAGGCATGAAAGGATTTTTTTGTCTGCTCACAACAATACAGACAGCATCACTTGCTCAACAGAACCATTCTCACTGCCTTGACCTAAGAAAAATGGTCTCAAAAGGACTCTGAAAGACTAAATGACATAAGCTTTCTCCCTTGAAATCTACACAGTTCATCATACTCACCCTATGAAATCAGAAATTTACTGAATCCTGTCAGTTTCGTATTAGAGAAAATTCAAGAAAGGGTTTTCAGAACTAAGACAGAAACTAGAGTAGACAAGGACAACAATTCACTTAGAAGAACACAAAAAACAAACAAAACATACTCACAGATCTTTGTTTCGGAAGAGTGTAGGTGAAGAAGTCCAAAAATACTTTATGTACCAGTGAGTGTTTTATCACAGCCTCTCTGTATTTGGGAAGAGGAAAATAAGCAAAAAGTCCCCCACAAGTAATGGTTTTAACATAAGATAACAAGACTTCATTTGCATTTAAAAAACAGAAAAAGTTTGGCAGTGCAGTGTGCAGAAAACACAGAGACATTCTAGATTAGATGTTTAGCATCTGCAGTATGTGGAAGATTCTAAACCTAGCAAAATATTTTCTCCTAAGGACCACTAGAGAAGCTTACCTAATAATGACTGCATTATGGAAGCACACCACATTGCAGGATTTCTACTGACTGGCTGGGGCAGGGGACACTTTAGTTTATAGAAGTGGAGTTCAAAATTAAGATATGACACTTTGGACTAAACTACAGTTACTTACTAAACAACACAGCAATGTTACAACTTAAAGAGTATCATTGTCACTGTCTGTTTGTATGTCAGAAACAAACTGATTCATGCTAGATTGTCACTCCTTAAATCAATTTTTTTCCTTACTTTTGTGCCATTGGTGTAAGAATCTGTTTCATTTCATCCAAGATGGCCTCTCTCTTTTCAGGCTGAGCTTCTAATACTTTACCCAGTGTCGGGACAACTGGTGTCTGAAATGAAAGTATAACCAGTGCAATTCTTCCCAGTAAGTATCAGAGTTTAAAGAAATTTAAAATCTTTAGTTCCTTTTCAATCAAAATTCACGAACAATATCGCAAACAATTTACTGCAAAGCTAACAATTTTTACAACTTCAAAAATAAAAAGCTCATCTACTTTGAGTATGTCAGAAGCTATATACTTGTTTCTACAAATTGAATATCCATTACTAGCAAACAAAAGCTACTTCTATGGTCTGAATTGGTTGTTGCCAATTACAGTCAGCTCTTCACGAGACTGTCAGATGCAAGGTAAAATACACAAAATTAGCATCCTGTTAAGGGACTCCGGAGCTAAGCACAAATCCTGCCCAATAGTATACCTATGTCAGAGAACACGAAGTCAATTAACTGAGAAGTTAACCAAGGCCCAGAAAATTCCAGTTCAAGAACAACACAGAGAAGGAATTTATAACATATACCTTAAATAAAAAAGTACTCCCTGGTATCTCAACTAAACTATTACACTGGTAATTCTTGCGAAACAATCTGTTGTTAGTAGAACAGGCCAAGTAGATAGAAAATTAGAAGAAATGTATTTGTAACCATCCCTGCTGGGGGTGGAAAAGGGAAGGTAGCAAGTTGGAGGCAGGAGGATGAAAATTAAACTACCCACTTCAAAACTTCAAGAAATTCCAGGTCTCATTAAGGATTATACTATAATTTCTTATAAACCCACACACTGTTGTCTCAGATTTGCACCACAATGCAAGACGACTTGAAACACTCATGCCAAGAATGCTAGAATGATGGAAGGTTAAACACTGATTTCAGAGGCTGGTTTACTCCCAGGACAAATTACACCACACAAACAGAGCAAACATGCCTTTCTATTAGTGTTCCAAAATGTATAATACCAGTAAAGAAAAAACAGGAATATAATTCAGAAATGAGCTGGTAATTTCTTATACACTTTTAACATAAATCTTGGGTAAAAGTCTGCTGTGTTGTACACCGGGGTGCAAAAGTCTCTCTAGTGTAGTTAATAATCGTGTAAAACAGTTCTGTACTTGGTAGCAAATAAAACTAGCAAAAAATATTTTATGTAGTTCAAACTGAAAACCACGACAATTTAGACTAGAAATGTGCAAGTAATCATAACATTTAAACATGCTAAACTAGACTATATTTGAACAGCTGACAGAAATAAAATTAATTAAAAGAAACAGTACATAAGGTACCTACACAATACCTTAGATGCTATAACACCTTAGACTACAAACTATTTAAACATCACCTTGTAAACCTGGAAAGTGTTCCCATATAGTTCTTCTGTCAGCATATTCCTCTGCTCCAGAATGGCTTTGTCATTATATGCATATTCCACTACAGCAGATGCTTCAGCATGACGGAGCATTTTTTTCACATGGCCTTTGAAACTTTTTATTATTTCTGCAACTTGTGGTTTTGTCCTGTTTCAGAAGGAAAGATAAGATACCGAGAGTTAAAACTTTACGGCTAAGCTAACCTATCTATAGTTTTACTTTTGGAAGCACATTTAAGTAGCATGATTTAAAACAGAAACCAGGAAATACATGGTTTTGGCTCAGCTTTTTGGCATTTATGAAAATACGGCAAGAAAGGCAGGAATCTCTAGAAATCCTAAGGCATTTTGAAGGAAAAAGAAACCAGTGGATAAATCCTACAGAATGAAGGACGCTTTCCTGAAATGCTAAGCAGAGAAACATTTTAAAAGCCTTTTTTTTTTTTTTGTATAAAGCAAAGATTAACTTTGAACATATATTTGAATTTCTTCTGGCATATGTCTTCTTCAACGTGTACAGCTTTAGCTTTATTTTTTTGCAAATGAAAAACTGTTAGCAATAACTGACACTCTCCTGCCTCATCACCGTTATAAATATGTTTCCAGAAACATAATTTTTTTATTAATGAGATTATACAGATTAAAAGCAGCACTGGATTGAATCCAAGCAATCTGCAATCACTGGAAACGAAACAATGCAACAAAGCTAAGTAAATTCACTTCATACTCACCCATACATAAGGAACTTCTTCACAATATTTCTGGAATATTTTGACTTGCTCAACTCTACTAAGCTATCTAGAAGGGGAAAAAAAATAGCTGGTTTGATTTTTCACTACAGTAACTCTACAAAACAAGATGCAGTAACTTAAAAGTCTTAAGAACTCACTATACAGTGCATCAGTTCAGCAGAAAGTTAAAGATATTCAAGAGAAAATAATATGGGTTTTTTAAATGCTAAACAAATTTTAAAATGCTAACAAGGATACAGGTAAACTGTAAATGGGAAGAAAATACCTTTCAATTCTTCAAATGTCTCTTGCCTTTGCTTCTCATTACCATATTGAATAAAGCACTGGATCACTCGAGTCGAATCATGTGCAAATGCCAGCTACAGAACAGAGATAATTCATTACCCTAGGCCGTTAAAATGGCATTATGCAACAAATATATTTTAATGCGCTGGCTATCTGATAATAGTTTTATGCCACATGTGGCATTCAATGCCAATTAAAAAAGTAGTTACCTGTTTATAAGGAATTAAGTTTCCAGGTTTTTCTACTACTTTTTAAGTACTCTATCAAACAAAATATAGACAATACTTGCAATTGCTGACAATTAAGGACATGCATCAAAGTTTTAATACTGAAAGAGAACCATGACATGGTATCTGTTTTTCCTCATGTTATTTCTAATGTCAGAGTGAGCGTGACAATGCAATTCCACTTCATCACGAAATACCATGATCACTATCAAATCAAACACGTATTTCACTGCAAATTTATACATTTCAAGAATTAAGTGGAAAGACTGTTTTCTCCTTTTTTACTCAAAGTTTGAAAAAAACCCTGTAACTTTTGGAAGAACAGGTTAGTACTATATTATTAAAAGTTCATTTAGTATTTCGCCATTCTTTAAAGAAGCTCTTGTGAATTTGTGCACTATGGCATTAGTTCTTCTTACACTTTTAATTTTTCCATGAAGAAGCTTCTGTAGGTCATTCATGAGCTTCTCTCGCTTCTCCTTATCACATTTCTTCCTACAAGCAAAGAAAAGTAAAGCTTTTTTTATACTATGATTCCCTTTTATCTATAAATTAAGAAGCAAGACGGTACAAAATAAAGTTGGCTCCTGCTAATCCAAATTTACATTATCATTCATTAAACCTGTAAACAGATGTAATTAAGCAGTTTCAGTTCCTAGGAACCAAACCAATTTCCACACTTTAAAAATTTTTCTTTTCTGAGTAACAAGATTATTAAAAAGAACATAAACTCAAATCTGCACCCAGAGCTGCTCACAGATCCAGAGATCTGTAAGCATCTTACAGCCAAAACTGCAAAGCACAGACACTTAGAGCAAGTAAAATTATCTCCTCATTCTGATATGAGGCCCAATTCTAGAATTACACCTGCCCAGAGAAAGCATACAAACCTCAAAATAAACCTCATGCAGTGATCCCACTGCAAGATCAGGCTGGATCAGTACATGCTCTGTGCCTCAGGATATAACACAACTCCTTAAGCACTCACTCACAAATTTTAGTCTAATGCAGAAGTGAGCTTAATCCAGACATTTCTAGCACCATGGGTTACCTCGCTTAAACCATCTACAGAATTGCATGTAATGTTATCATTCACCCACAGAATTTCATTGTGGAAATACATTTTCATGTAATTACAAGAGGAGATAGAGTCTTCTTGCAACTAATAACTAAAAGCCAACTGAAGCAAAAAAGAATCATTATTACCTTCTCACACTTTCCCATATCTGCTTTGATTTCACAATTAAGTCATAATTATTTTTATCATTAAGTTGTCTGGTTTGCTTTAATTCCTTCCTTTTCTTTTTGAAGTCACTCCACTTCGGCTTCTTAGGATCCGACCCTGAATACAAAAATACATAAATTTTTCTATAGTCAGTAGAAGAGGAGGAATGGAATCTTTTATCAGTATAGACTGTGGCAGCTCCATGACTTGAACTGTTAACAATTCAGGAGCTTCGCCCAAGTTACCCAGATAGCTAATGTGAAAGTGTCAATATTTAATATGTATGCTAACCTAGTAATTTCCATTTCTATAATACCAAAAGAACAAAGCAAACAAGAATTTTTCTCAAAGCTTTGTCAAAGACAGCCTGCAAACCTCTTAATAGCTTGAAAATTTGACTTAAAGATGCATTTAGCTTTTTAGTTCATCCTGGACTTAAACATACCTTTTCTCTCTCTCAAAAGAAGAGCCCTAACTCAAAAATACGTATCTGAAATCTCAGAGAAAGGAAAAAAATTAAACCCTTTTAACATGCTTAATCTTTTCTTTCAGTCAAATTCCTTAAGCATGGGGTTTACTATACAACAGCTATACACTGCCACTCAACAAACTCTGTTAACATAACGTGCTTTAAAGTGCCACAGATGAACTATGGAAAAACTTCAAGTATCTGATCTTAGTTTTATTCTTACCTTGACAAAAAACATCATCTTATATTACATCTTTTCACAGAATCAAGTCATGCATGCTATTACTTCTACACCCAACATTAAAGACCCAGAATAAAATTTTTAGACCTTAAAGCACCACTTGTTGGTATTTAGCAGCATGCACTTAACTGTCTTACCCGTCCAAAACCCATGCTCTCTTTTTACAAAGAATACTACCAATTTTTTTTGTGTCACTCTCCTAAAATAACAGCAACAAGAAAAAACAGTAACACTTCGAGAGCACAGCCACTGTGCCATATAGAGCACCTTTCAGTTACTCTTATAAGCAACAATTAAAGGTTTGTTTGTGGGTGGTTTTTCCTTTTTGTTTGTTTTTTTTTTTTAAGCAGCTTAATATGAACATTCTGTTGCTATTAAGTTTCTAGGCATCTGGTGCATACTCTGTGTGAAGCCATCCTGAAATATACAACAGCAACAATAAAATACTCAATACCTTCTACTGACTTTCAAACATTTTTCTGCAGAACTTCACATAAGATTCTGCTTCTGTTTCATTGTCCCATTTGTTCATTGTTTCATTTCCCCTTTGCTTCACAGCAAAGTAAGGGACAACATGAACATGCACCAGAAACAAAGTTATGAGAGAAATCCATTCAAACAGAGATAAAACCAGACATATATCTGTAAACACAAAAATAAGCTGTAAACCATAAAAAGCAGTGACAAAACCAATGATGTCTCAAAAAAAAAAAAAAAAGGGGAAAAAAGAATTGACTAGATAGTTTGGATCACAGGAACAAAATAATGTAAGGGATAACCAACTCTGACTCATGAACTTTTGTGTTCCAAATTTTATAGCCAGTACTTTTAGATCAGAGGATTACATTTCTAAAGTGGTCTGTGAAATGCTCTGTATTTTCCAAATTTACAAGAAAACAGTCAGTTTCAAGCTAGCCACTTACTACTGTCATTAAAATAATCATAGCTTCATGATGGCATACTGATTATTTAAATTTGCTACTGCACCTTTGACTTTCAAGAAAATTTGTAACTGTTCATTCTCATTACTCAAGCTTAGACAGGTGAGGAACATTTTCCACAGCAAAGATTAAACATGAAGTAAACTTGCAGTCATTCAGCCAATTTGGAAATATGATAACAAGGCAAGGGCAAAGAGGAAGATAGGAAGAGTAGATGAAGGACCTGTTTCCCAAAACCTAGTTGCCATTGATATCCAGGCTTAAAAATCTGCTCACCTCCCTCTTCTCCATCCTGGAGTTTCCTCTTCTTTGCAAACGTTTCTGATTGCTGTTTATTCTTGAACTGTTTGACAGTAGCTATCCCAGCTCTTAACTGTCCTTTCACAAATTTCTTGGAAATGGATTTAGGCTTTCCCTCCTCATCTCTTTTTTTGAGGAGTTTCTTTGGTGGACCTGAATCTATTATCCAACAAAAAAGAAATTAAAATGCTATCATACAGCTAATGTTGCTTCAAAATAACAAATTACTACTGTAACTAGAATTTAACTTCTTTGTTGTAACAACTATACACGTAACAGTAACTGTTAAATGCTTCTCAAAGCTGGTGTTTTCATGGCAGTCCCCGGGTGTCCCAGTTTCCCCTAAGGAAGTTTTGCCCGGGCATTATTTTCTGGGCAGCAGTATAATAGCCCAGACATAAAAGGATTGTTCTAAATTAAGAATTTCACCACCCCTGACACCAAGGTCATCAATCCCCAAATCATGTCTCCACAGTTTATGGTCAGCTGTTTTGACATCATCTGTTTAAAGCAGAAAACAGTGAAAGGTATCTTCTCAATTCTAACCCACAGCACTTCACACACCCGAGCTTCAACTGTCAAATTTTTACTTAATGTAGAAGAGCAAAGTGTAGAATCAGAAAGTTATCAACTTGAAAATTCTAATTAAGTGAGTATTTTAGGTGAACCAAAGAGCTGAAGGGCTTGCACTATAGTCTATTTAAAGCTTCACTTTTTCCAGGTTATTTGATCATACAGTCAGTACAGTTTTGACTACAAGATAGAATCACAGATGACTGAGGTTGGAAGGAACCTTTGGAGGTCATCTGGTCCAACCCTCCTGCTCACACAGGGCCACCAAGGGCTGCCCAGGACAATGTTCAGGTGGCTTTTGACTATCTCCAAGGTGGAAGACTCCACCTGGGCAGTGCTCGGTCATCCTCTTAGTAAAGAAGTCTCTCCTGATACCCTCATAGTGAAAAAGCATGTTCTCATGGTTTAGATGGAACCTCCTGTGTTTCAGTTTGTGCCCGCTGCCTCCAGTCCTCGCTCTGTCTTTGCACACTGCATTCAGGTATTTGTATACACTGACAAGATCCCCCTCAGCCTTCTCTTCTCCAGTCTCAACTGTCCTAGCAATATCAGCTTCTCCTCACAAGAGGTGTTCCAGACCCTTCATCAGGTATGTGACCCTTCAGTGGGCTCTCTCCAGTAGGTCCAAGACTCTTGTACTGAGTAGCCCAGAACTGGACACAGCACTCCAGGTGTGGCCTCACCAGTGCTGAGGAGAGAGCAAGGATCACTTCCCTTGACCTTCTGGCAACACTCCTCCTAATGTATCCCTGGATCAAATTTGCCACCTTTGCCACAAGGACACATTCATCTCTCATGTCCAGCTCTGTGATCACCAAGAGCCCCAGGGCGTTTTCTGCAAAGCTGCTTTCCCCCAGCACGTGCTGGTACACTGTGTTGTTCCCATCTCAGGTGCAGAACTTCGCCCTTCACTCATTGACGAACTTCACATGGCTTCTGTTAGTTCATTTCTCCCCGCTATTGAGGTGCCTCTGAAGAGCTGCATGATTGCTGGTGCATCAGCCACTCCTCCCAGCACTCTGTCACCAGCAAACTTGTGATAGTACACTCTGCCCCATCATCAGTGAAGTGGTTGAACAGGACGAGGCCTAGTACTAACTCCCTGGGTACACTGCTAGTTACCAGCCTCCAACTACATTCTGTGCCAGGTATTACCAATTTCTGCACCCAGCTCTGCCAGTTTTCAATCTACCATACCATGTGCTCATCCAGCCCATATTCTGTCGGCCCCTCTGCAAGAACTCTGCGGGAGACACTGTCAAAGGCTTTACTGAAGCCCAGCTTGACAACATGCTCCTCTCTGATCTCATCTACGGAGTTTGTCACTTAAAAAGTTTACCAAGATAAAAAAGTAAGTTCAAGCATGCCTGTGCACAACACTAATCACTCAGCAAGGCCTCCAGAGGGGGACCTTTGTCTTCTTACCATTATCTTTTTTAAATTTCCTCTGTCCATGTGGCACTTTTCCGTAAGGTGCTTTTCCCCTTTTCCCCACGAACTTCTTTTTACCCTTGGTTTCCATCGTGGCAGCACTGCAAAGGACGCATGAGACACCATCACTGGACCACCGTGGCTCGTTGCCAACAGTGTAAGGAAAAGACAGCCCGCACTTCCTGGAACACCGCTTAACACACTTGGCGGAGTTAAACCCTTCTCAACAGCCGCTGACCATCCCTAGG